AGTAGGCGCTCAGTAATGCCAGTTGCCATCACTATATATATATATTTTTAAACTTTTTACTTTATATTGGAGTATAGCCGATGATGTTGTGAAAGTTTCAGGTGGACCGCAAAGGGAACCAGCCATACATATACATGTATCCATTCTCCCCCAAACTCCCCTCCCATCCAGGCTGCCACACAACATTGAGCAGAGTTCCCTGTGCTATATAGAAGGACCTTGTTGGTTATCCATTTAAAATATGTCAGTGCCATCACAATGTTTTCATTAACTGCTTAATAGGTGGGAAGGGCCTATGGGTTTATTTAAGTAAAAGAGCTTTAAAAATTTAAAAACACTGGACAAATGCTGGCTGTGAGAGGCAGCCTGGTGTTGTCGGGAAAGTCAAGGGCAACAGACTTGAGTTCAATTGCTGAGCTGCTGTGTGACTTGGGCCAAGTCGCCTCACCTCTCAGATCTTCATTTTTCTTCTGTTATAAGATGGATCCAGTAAGAGTACCAGGCATCCCTCCGGGTTGTCATGAAGACTGACAGGGCTCTTATGCGTGCGGGGCTGTTCCCATCCCTGCCTCCCTTCTTCCTCTTCCCCAGCAGCCCTGGTGTTCATTTACCGCCCACCCCACCCCCAGCAACCCCTTCCCAGACCCCCATCCATCATCCTGTCCTTTGCAGAGGTTAAGTGGGTCCCCAAGCAGCGAATCCAAACTCTCCCGAAGCCCCAGCCGCACAATGCGGCCCGCTGTTAGTGAGCACCCCGGCTGGCCCGGAGGATTGGGTTTCAGCCGGGCGGCCGGCGCTGGCGGATGCCCAGGCCAGTGGCGGGCAGGCAGGGGGACGGAACGGAGGAGCCCGGCGTCGCGGGGACTCCTCCACCCAGGGCCTGAGAAAACAAGAATAGGCTCCAGGCAGGCAACCGAGGCAGAGGAGGGCCTCTGATGGCAGGAGGACAAGGAGGGGTATGTGCTGGGAGAGCCGGCGGGCAGAAGGATTTTACATTAGCTGGGTCCTCTTTCCATGAGCCTGAGGGCGGAGAGGGGGTGGGGGGCCGCGCTGGAAAAACATCACGCTGCCTCTTGGCACGTTGCAGCCTGTAAGATCCACGGCCTGCCCACAGCTGGCCCAGGGCTGCCTTGCTGGCATCGCCGCCTTCTACTTGGTTGCTTTGGACCAGCGACCCCAAGATGCCCTCAGCTGATGCTTCTCGTCTGGTTTTCAGAGGAGAGGGAGGCCACAGGAAACCCGGGGCTGATAGTTCAAATCGAGTGTTGCTGCTGTGGGGCTGTGTGACTTTGGGCAGGTCTCTGTGCCTTTCTGAACTCAGGTTCCTCATCTGTGCGATGAGGGTAACAGTGCCAGCCTTGCAGGATGTGTGGAGTGACGGCTCAAGGCCTGGCACCAAGAGCATGGTACCTGAATGCTCTGATTTTTTACCCCTCCCGTTTGCGAATCAGCGTGACCTGGTGCCTTCTGGGGTCAGACCAAACACGTCCCATCTGGCCTTGCCTCTTAGCGGCCACGTGGCCTCTGGGGAGTCCTTCATCTCCCCGAGCTTCGATGTCAGTGAAGCCTATACTGCGTCCTCCACAAGGGTCAGCGATTTTCAGTAGGGCCCAGCTTCTGCATGTGATAAAGACCCTTTGCACCCAGTGCCTCCTTGGATCCTCTCAGCAGCCCTGGGAGGTACATAAAATGAGAATGTTATGATCCCCACTTTATAGATGTAGAGACTAAGGCTCAGAGAGGTACAGTGAACTTTTCCAAATCACCCGGCTTATCCGTGGCCTTGAACTTTATCTCCTGATCCTGACTGTTGCCTCCTCTTGGAATCCTAACACGGACCATAGGAAGACTGCGCCAACCCCCAGCAATCGCTAGCCCGGGTGTGGCCTCCACGCTGTGGCTAGCATCTGACCAGGCCATGGCGGGGTAGACAGGCCTGTGGTCGAGTCACCTTAGCCCAGTTAGCCCCAGCAGGGAGCAGCTGGAGCTGCTGGGACGGGTTCGGAGTGGCATCTGCAGCTCACGTGCCAGGCTGCTTGGTTGCCTGGGCTGAGGGCTGCTGGCCAATCTGGAGTAAAGACCCCAGGAAATAACCTGCAAGATATCTGTCTATCTTCAGGACAGATCGTGTTCTCATGTCCATGTTCTTAAGACAGACCATATCACTACCCTCCTCAGGAACCCTCTATAGTACCCCATTGCCCCATTTTGGATCTTCAAGACAAGATCCAAACTCCTTAGCCTCATACTGAGGCCCTAAGTTCTGGACCCATCCTGAGGTGACAGATTCACCCACAAAGCATATTGTTCCCACCCCCTGGGACAGACACACACATGCCAGCCCGATGCACTGGCGAAGAACACAGGCTTTGGCAAGAGGCAGACAGAGCTGCAGCACTGCTGGGCCATGAAAACCTCGAACAATCTCTCCTAACTTCAGCTTTCGCGTCTGTAAAGGGAGGTTCAGTAAAGCACCTACTTTATAAACAGTTACGATGAAATGAGATAATGAATGCTAAACCTTTAGCCCAGAGCCCACCAAGACCCTCAGGTTTTACTGTTGCCCAGACTCAAGTTTCACACCTCTGAGCCTTTGATCCCGCCATGCCCTTTACATTTCATGCCCTTCCCCTCTCCTCCCAGCCCAAATGCCACCTCTTCTGAGACGCCTTTGCTAATTCCCCGGTCAAGGCTAATCCTTTCTTCCTCTGGGTTTCCTGGTTCGCAGCCCATCTCAGCTGTTTCACTCTGCCTCTCTCTGTAGAGAGTTTGCATCTTGGGCACTAGTTGGGAAGCTCCTTGAGGGAAGAACTTATTGATCTGTTTTTACGTCCCCAGTGTTCAGCACACGGCCTGACACGCAAGAGGTAGAGGCAAGTAGATGTTTGTTGAATGACCATGATCTCGTTTCTCAGACCGGGAGAATTCAGGCACAGCTGCCAGAAACTTAAGCTCCCTTGAGTTAAGTTTTGGAAGAGAAGTTAGCCAGGCTCCAAAGCTGGAAGGACATTTCAAGCAGAAAAAATGGGAACATTCAAGTCACCGAGGCCCAAGGAAACATAGGGCCTTCTGCACACAAAAGGAAACTCAGGATGACTGGTCACGGCTGGAAGGTAATTAAGCTGGCCTGGCTGACAGGGCCCTTGAATGGGTTGTTGAGGGGCTAGGACTTGACCTTGCTGGCAGTGGGAGTTCTGAAGGGCATTCAGTTCAGTTAAGACATGATCAGACATGGGCTTTAGAAACCTCACCTGTGTGTAAATCAAATGCATCTACTGCGTACCAGAATCATTTCTCAGTGCTAAAGTCACAGTGGTGACGGAGGCGGACACAGAGCTCTCCCAGAGTGAGGGCCTTCAGTTCAGTCCAGTCGCTCAGCGTGTCCAGCCCTTTGCGACCCCATGGACTGCCTTGGAGACTGCAGATCAGCAGGACTCACCTGTGTGATGTCACTTAATTCTCACATGACCCATTATACAGATGGGGAAACTAAGGTCCAGAGAGGAGCACAGGCTTGCCTACAGTCACTCCCTGAAGAGTGCTAGAGCCCAGGTTCGAGCCTGGACAGTCTGTGCACCAACCCCCTGCTGCCCTCCCCTTTCTTTCCCCTCCTGTCCTTACACTGGCCCATAAACAAAAAGAGCATAGTGTGTGAGTGTGTGTGTGTGTTTTAAGGCTATAGCTACAGCCTCCTGAAAATAACACAGATGAAGAATGAGAGAGATGATGGTTCAAATCCCAGCCCTGCCTCTGAGGGCTGTGCAGGCCGCTTCGCCTCTCTGATGTCAGTTTCCACATCTGTAAAGTGGGGCTAATGTACCCCACAGGTTGCCAGAGGCCTGAGGGCATGCGTAGAGCGCCCAACTCCATGCCTAGCACACAGTAGGCACTTAATAAATGCTTCTCCTCGAATCTTTGGAACTCTCACCTACTGTCACTTGTGCAGACGGTGTCTGTGGCCCTAGAGAAGTCTGATCCAAGAAGGGGTCAGATGGAGCTGACCGGGGGCTGGGTCGGGGAGCAGAGGGTGACACCCCCCACCCTGCTCCAGCCTGAAAACAGGGCCCCGCGCAGCCACTCTCCCTTCGGCCCAATGCTAACGACTTCAGTGTGTGTCCTTTTTAGCGCAAATATTCCTGAAATGTGCACTTCTCATTCACACATAGCCAGAGGGGTCTTCGGGCCTCCCCAGCCTGTGCGATCGGGGCCTCCTGATTGCTTTCTTGTGTGCAGTCTCCAGGAAGCAGGAGGGGGTGTGGGAGCAGCGGGGTGAAGGCCAGAGCCACTCCCAGGGTCCAGACCCTGTTTTCCCCATCAAGTAAGGCACTCCAGGCTGGTGGCTAGGTGCTGAAAATCTTGTCCACGTACTCTCAGTTTCCCCATCTTTCCACTGGGATTTTTTTTTTTTTTAACAGTCATTTTGAACATCCAGGGGTTGGGATCTGGGCATTTCCGGGGCTAACTGGAAGGTTGGGAGGGCCCAGAGGTGAGTGAAAGGGCAGTATTAGGCAGGGCGGGGGTGGGTGGTACCAGGGGGGCTGGGAAAGATGTGGGCAGATGGGTGTGGTCCAGTAAGGGGGCCTCGGACAGTCACTGACCTTTGCTGGGCAGCCCCTGCTCCCACTCCCCAGCTCAGCCTGGCACGCTTTCCCACTTAGCCTCTCATGACTCTCTCCTAATTCATCCTTCAAGCCCTTTATCTGTGTCACTTCCTCCAGGAAGCCGCCGCTGGCTGGTTTGTTTTCTTCCTCTCCTGCTGTACCCAGTTGCCATCACATACCAAAGCTCACACACATTCCTGTTAGGGTTTTGTCACGTCATGTGGTGATTAATTATCTGTGTACGGTGAAAGTGGCTTCCCCTGCACGTGGGATTGTCATTGTCACAGTCGGGGGGGAGTGGTGGGGGGAGGAGTGGGGAGCACATTTCAAGCAACTAAGAGGCAGCTTGGTGGAGTCTACTGGTCCCCAAAGTGTGGGGAGTGAGATGATATTAGGTAGTTTGCAGACAAACTTTTTTAATGGTAATTGTCTTATGCTTGTTTTCCTTCCTTTTATGGCAAGTGATATTGGTTTCCCATTTGTAATAATGATAGCTTTTTCCTCTTTAAAATGCACTTAAGGAAAAAAAAAAAGAGTCGGAAGAAATTTTGTAATTATATGATAGTACAGGCTGTAGGTGGAAACAGCCGAAGTCATGGATATTGTCCTGAAGGAGCAGAACACTAGCATGTTCAAGCCCTACAGTTTTAGGGGAGGAAAGGGGAATTCAGCCTTTGACTGAAGACCTACTAAGTGCAAGGCCCTCTGCTGGGTCTTGGGGTAAGTAAATTACAGATGGGGTGGAAGGGGAAGAGATCAGGAGAAACAGTGTGCAAGAGAGAGTACCAAACAGTCTGTGTAGCTGCAGCACAGCTTGTAAATAGTTATGAGACCTTGAGCAAGTCCCTAAGCCTTTGTAAACCTCAGTTTTCCCATCTGTGAAATGGAACAGTATCCGTTATCTCTTGGCATCACTGTGAGAATGTTGGTGAGGGTTTCTGGCTCCTAATAGACAGGATCTCTGGTCTCAGTGACCATGAGTTTCTCTCCCTCTGTAGATTTTTGAGAACAGAGGGGCAAGGTCTGGGGTGTTATGGGGAGGAGGGAAGTGCTGGCGATGGAAATAGGGCATGGCTTTCTGAACCCACCCAGGTTCCCAGGGAAACTGAGCTTGAACTTCAGTACTTGGTTAAGAGGAACAAAGAGGAAATCAGGGCATTCCAGGAAAGCGGCATCAGACGGACCAGGAGTGGCTCCCTGGAGGCCTCAGCCCTCGAACGAGAGGCTGATGTCCATCAGATGTTGGCAGGCGTGGTCTGGGGTGTGGGAGGAGCTGCTTGGACTCGCCTTCACTTGCAGGGGCCACCTCATGAGTCCAAAGGAAACGATGTGTGTACGCCAGCACAGGGTCAGCCAAAACACACCACACTGGATCTGAAAAGAGAATAGCTGCCACTTGCTGATGATCTGCTTGAGCTGGGCTGCAAGCTCAGAACCCTCCTGGCTCACTTAGCTCTCCTGTTCACCTCCACAAGGCATTATGGCCTTTGTCTAGATGAGGAGACTGAAGCTTAGAAAGGTTGCAAGTCCAAGGTGGCAGAAAAGGTATTGAAATTGAAGTCTGACCTCCCAATCCCAGTACATCTGCTCTGCTTATCTGCCTTTTTTGCAGAGAGTGGAGGGAGATGTGGATGCAGAAAGGCAAAAGGCCAAGGGGAAGTTGTGGGGAAAGTACCCTGGGGTTCCCTCCTGCTGTGACTCCAGCAGGTAACAGCCTTCCCAGAGACAGCCTTCCAGGCAGAGCCCAGGACCGGCTTGGCGAGAAAGGAGCGTAGGGGCCGCCTTCTGCGTCCTCCCCAGCGGACCTGCAGGCTGGCCCCTCCTCTTAGCCCCTTCCAGTCTGTGACCAAGCAGCCATTGACTTCCTGTCCTTCTGAGATCCTCCCCTTGCGGGCTCCAATTGTGGTGGGAGGCAGAGGAGGAGAACAGTGGGACCCCCAAACCTGAGCTCCCTGGGAGCCCAGAGTTTGAGGACCAGCTTTTAGCGTGTGACTTTTGGCCAGTCCTTCGCACCTCCCTGGGCCCAAGTTTCCACCTGGGCGTGGAGGACGTCCGTTCGCAGTCCCTCCTCTGGGCTGTGGAATCCTCTAGCACTTGGCCCCTGGGTCAGCCCAAGAATCCAGCCAAGGGGTGGGGCCACCTGCTTGGCGGGTTTGCCTCCCCCGCCACCCCAGCCCCTGACCCCTCTCTGGTCCCAAGCACAGTCTCCCCTCTCCCTTGTTGCGCGCAGCTCCCAGCAGCTGTTCCTCGGGCCCAGGCAGAGAGCCCGGCTTGGCGCGTCTCTGGCTGAGGCCGATGAGAGAAAACAGGTTAAAAGTTCAGCCCTTGTTCTCTCCAGGAAGAAAAATCTGTAGCATTCGGAGTGTGAAAAGGAACCCTTTTTTCAGCTCCAAAGCAGCACAATAGAACTTCCCTCCAATTTGCCATCAAAAGGACGCCCTTGGCACTGGACTCCACCGTCCCTGGCACCCTCCTCCCCCCGCCTCGCCAGCCCCCAGTGCAGAGGGACACAGTGACCGCAAACACGAGCCACAGGCGGTCATGGGGACACTGCCGCATCCTCTCTTGTCAGCCCACGGGTCTGCCTGAGGTCACCTCCGGCTCAACGCTTCCTTCTTTCCCACCCTCCCATCCGTACCGCCCCTGTCTGGTTCAAGACCTTGTTCCTCCCATTTCGACCTTGACAGTGACCTGGACGCTTTCCCCTGCCCCCACTCTCCTTGCCCTAGTTCATTCAACCCGGGCCATCAAATGAAGTGTCTAGAAGTTTACAGAGTGGGAGGCAGGAGACCCTCACCTCCCACTGTGCCACCAACTCCTGGGTGATCTTTAGGAAGCCTCTTCCCCTCTCTGTGCCTCAGTTGCCCTATTTCCAAAATGAGGCTGTTGGACTAGACCAGAGATAGGATCTCAGATGGTGGGTGGTGGTTTCCTGGAGCACTGTGGTGAGAAGCCCTGTGTGGTCACAGAGTGTGGGAATTGATTAGTGATGTCTGTGCTGGGCACAGGATGGGAGCTTCGCAGCAAGCATTGCCTCTCACTCACTCTCGCTCACCTAGGGGTGGTAGAAGTTCCAGCTGTGATCCCCTAGGTCTCTCCGCCTGCCCTCTGACAACTCTTTGTATTCACACCCCATCTCTGCCACCAGACTGTGAACTGCTCCCTTAGAAGGGCTTTGCTAGTCACCCTCAGGGTACCCGGTACAGTGCTTGGGTACATAATGTACATCAGGATATATCTGTGGATTGAATGCCCGAGCAAGTTAAATCTACTCACTGCATCACAGTTCAGTTCAAAAAGCATTTTGAATCCCCTGTGGCAGGAAACAGGGGAGAGGGGAGGGGTGCTGAGCCCGATCTGGGAGTGAATGGAGATCTTTCTGGCCCTGTGGGTCTCCTTTGTCACTGACTGTATGGTTCCTCCCCTCCAGCTAGAATAACGGGAAGCACGTAGGGCTCAGCTGGTTCAGAAGCTGATCTGAGTTTTCTGAACCCCCAAAGGGCAGGTGATGGGCTGGCCCCATGGACACGGTGTTCACCCCTGCCACCCCTCCATCCCCAGGGCCCTGTCCTTGGGACAGAGTTGGCTGAGCCTGGGGGAGGGGGCCCAGGGATGAGGACACGATGGAGAACTCCCATTTCCTGGAGAAAGGGGAAAGGTATCCCTGATGGGAGGCGTGGGGCAGATGGCAAAATGGGGATAACTGAGGCAGCTTGGCTGGGGCCCAAGGGAGGCCTCTGTAAGGCCAACGTTCCAGTTGGTGAGAATTTGATGCATGCGGAAAAGCAAATAGGACCCTCATTTTGAAGGAAAAATTTGAAATTTCTTGAGGACTCTCTCAAGCCCATCCAGGAGACCCCAGGTTAAGACCCTTCCCCAGTAAAGGAGGAAAGTGGGGGGTGGTAATATCTAGGTTGGAGGGATGTGGTTGGCTGAGAGGGTGGGGCATGACCAGGTGTTTAAGGGCTGGAGTTGGATTTAAGGGGTGGAGTCTAGAAGAATAAACTCAGATGATTGGCTGGAGTGTGGGAGTGGGCGGGATCATGGAGTGAGAGGCAGGACCTGAAGGGAGGGTAGTCTATAGGGTCAGACCCAGTGACTGGAGTAAGGGAAGTAGGTGGCTGCTCTGTGCAGACGGCCCTCAAGAGGGAAGTTCTTGGTGATTGACCTTGCTTCACAGGCGGCTCAGCAGTGGCTCTGCTCTCTCCACAGAAACGCTGATGGACTCAACCACAGCGACGGCGGAGCTGGGCTGGATTGTGCATCCTCCGTCGGGGGTAAGTCGGTGGCCCTCAAACCCGGCCTGGTCTGCAGGATGCCTCTGGTTCTGCTGCGGTGCCTGGATGCCTTACCCTACCCCATTCGAGCCCCGTCCACTCCTTCAGATCCCAGGACCTGGGCTCTCATTGCCCCACCCTAGTGGTCTCCTACCATTGATCCAGTACCAGTTACCGTGACACCAGGCTGGATGCTTTTAGCTCTTGTCCTATAGAATTCTAAGAGTGAGGCTGAGAAGTGGGTACTCACAACCACTGTTTTACAAACAGGGAAAGTGAATTGTCAGTTCCTGAGCATGCACTGGGTGTCATACTGTATCAAATCACCTTTACACACATCATCTCCAGTCCTATGGGAAGGAATCACCTCCATTTTACAGATGAGGAAACTGAAGCTCAGAGAGCTATAGCCACCTGCCGGGGACCCCACAGCTAGTAAGTAATGAGGGCTCAGGTTTGTAACCAAGGCGGTGACCTAGTCCTTGGGTCCCTACCACACTAGATTCCATCTTCCTGAGCTCCTACCATCACACTTGGGTCCGGTGGTCTGAGCCCACGTAGGCTATGAGCTTCCCAGGAACACACTCAGGCCCAGGGACTTCCCTGGTGGTCCAGTGGTTAAGACTGTGCTCCCACCGCACAGGACACAGGTTTGGTCCCTGGTCCAGGACCTAAGATCCCACATACCCGCCCCACGCCACGCGCACCAAAAAATTCCGGTGCAGTTTGAGATTCCTCTTTCTTCTCACAACAACCAGCCCAGCAGTTACCTATAGTCTGTGGAGTGAGACCCCTGAAGATAGGAAGAAAAGTCGCTCAGTCGTGTCTGACTCTGCAACCCCATGGACTGTAGTCCACCAGGCTCCTCTGTCCGTGCGATTCTCCAGGCAAGAATACTGGAGTGGGTTGCCATTTCCTTCTCCAGGGGATCTTCCCTACCCAGGGATGGAACCTGACTCTCCCACCTTGCTTTAACCGCCTGAGCCACCAGGGAAGCCATTCCAATTCGGCCACTTAGCAGCTGTGTGATCTGGGGGCCAGTTCCTTAACCTGTCTGAGCTTTAGTTTCCTCATCTATCATATGGTGGTGATCATGCTCGTAGAACTGTTGTGAGGTTTTTCTGCAAAGTATCCAGCATAGCATGCCTCACGCAGAGTGGGCTCCCAGTGACAAGTGGCTATGGGAACTGTCGCCGTTGTCATCCTCATCGGCATCCTTTCTGATATTGCTCCCTCCTCACCCCCCTGGTCTCTGGCAGGGGCTCGGGGCTCCCCCGGCCCACCCCTGCCCCTCCCCCCATCCCAGCTCCTCCGTGGGGACTCAGCTGCTACCCCAAGGAACTGCGTCCTCCGCTACCCCCCTCAGGCCTGTGCTCTCAATAGGCAGGGCCCCAGGGTCAGGCCTCTTTCTGTGGCTCTTTCTTGTCACCAATTTTCCATCTGCGAAGGCGGCTGGGCCCACAGCCCCACCCTGCCAGTAATGAGGCCAGGCTGGGCTGCAGGGCCCCCGGACGCAATTATTTGGGGTGTTTAGGCTGCAGGGCCTCCGCATGTTAATTAGAGAGAGGGGAGAAAGGCAGAGTGCTCTAATTAAGTGCTCTAATTAAGTTCTGAAGAAGAGCAGTGATTGTAACAAGGGGCTGACTTTGTCACATGGTGCCACCAAAAAAAAAAAAAATTAAATGCAACATAGGGAGCTTCAAGCCGCCATTGAAGCAGAGGCTGGGCCGCTCAGCCTTGCTCACACACACCCGCCCTTCACAGCATCCACAGCCGCCGCCCCGCCCCATGCAGGCTGGGCCCGGAGAATCTGAGGGAGGCAGAGAGACAAAGGGCACCCACGCGAGGGTGACACCTCTCCGACCGCTCACCCTCCCCCCGACAGTCGCTTCTGGCAGTTGGGGAAATAGAGGCCCAGAGGGGGCCAGTGACTTGCCTAAGGTCACACATCAAGTTAACAGAGCTGGGACAAAGCCCACTGATGGGTCCTCGTGTTTCGAGGTAGGGTGGACAAGCTTGGGTATGGGTCTGAGTCTGGGTCTGTGTGGCCTGGGGTCAAGTGCCAGTGTGTGACTGCACTTCTCTGGTCTCTACTTACTGATCTGTAAAATGGGGATAACCATGCTTCCCACATGTGAAAATCATGACAAAGAAATGAGATCCTATTACAGTGCGGGTTCACCCTGTCAGCCCAGCACCAAAGAGGGGCACAGGAGAAGGAGGGATTGGGGAGCTGATCCCAGCATGCCCTCGGACCCCCCTGGGGGAGACCAGACCAAGAGGGGTTGGGCGTGCCTGGCACTCCTTCAGGCAGGTTGTCCCCAAAGCCCAAGGGAGAATTGGTGAACCTGGACACGGCGCTGGAGGGAGACTCTGCTACAGGAGGTTCCAGAAGGCTGGATAGAGAAGTGAGAGGTGCCCGAGGGGGCGTGAAAGGGTGAGCAAAGGCTCAGGCTGCGAGTGAGCCTGGCTCTTGAGCGTCTGTGCGTGGAACACAGTCTGTGCCGTTCCGTTCCCAGCTTTCCACAGCCCTGCCAAGCCCCCTGCAGCAGTGGGAGTGGGGAGCTCACAGCTGGGTGGGTGAGCGCCCAGGCCGGGGCCTGGTGAGGTGCCCTGACCCCAGGCAGGAAGGTGGGGAGGTCTCCCTCCACTCTCCGTATTAGCTACTCTCGCGGGGTAAGGCCTCGTGTTTCTGTCATGGCGGTGAGGGCTCTTCGTCCATTGGACTGAGGGTCCCCAAGGGCAAGGGCTGTGTCTGCCCGGTCGGACAGGGAGCCCCAGGCAGACGGCAGCCCTGTCTCCTCCATCAGACTGGGCGCTCCTCGGGCACGTCCTTCGTGTGCTTTCAGGCCCGGTGAGCCTCTCCCCGGTTTCCATTCCATGGGCAGCTTCCCAGGAACGGTGGGTGGAGGGCGGTGGGGGCGTGACTTCCTCATCAGATTAGTTATCCCTGGGGGGTAAGGGTCACATCTCCCGTGTGGATTAGGGGAATACCACCCAGAGCAGGGCGTGTGCAGAGAGCGGGGAATTCCTCAGGGCCAGAGCCAAATCTCCCGCTCAATTTGGGGTTTCTCTGATGGTAGGTATCGTGTCTGCATCATCAAACTGGAAGATCCCTTAGGTAGAGTCTGTGCCTGCCCCCCGTGAGAGGAGGAGGCCCATGACGGTAGGTGTCCTGCCTGCCGCCTTCTCAGCTGGAGGATTCCCCAAGGAAGAGTGTGCCCCCACTGCTTAGGATGCTCCCTGGGGCTCAGCCCCTACCTGCCCCACCTGACTGGCATTTCACCCGCAGTGGGAAGAGGTGAGCGGCTACGATGAGAACATGAACACGATCCGCACGTACCAAGTGTGCAATGTGTTTGAGTCAAGCCAGAACAACTGGCTACGGACCAAGTTCATCCGGCGCCGGGGCGCCCATCGCATCCACGTGGAGATGAAGTTCTCCGTGCGTGACTGCAGTAGCATCCCCAGCGTGCCCGGCTCCTGCAAGGAGACCTTCAACCTCTATTATTACGAGGCTGACTTCGACTCGGCCACCAAGACCTTCCCCACCTGGATGGAGAACCCGTGGGTGAAGGTGGACACCATTGCCGCCGACGAGAGCTTCTCCCAGGTGGACCTGGGGGGCCGGGTCATGAAGATCAACACCGAGGTGCGGAGTTTCGGGCCCGTGTCCCGCAGCGGCTTCTACCTGGCCTTCCAGGACTACGGCGGCTGCATGTCCCTCATTGCCGTGCGCGTCTTCTACCGCAAGTGCCCCCGCATCATTCAGAACGGTGCCGTCTTCCAGGAGACGCTGTCGGGGGCGGAGAGCACGTCGCTGGTGGCCGCCCGGGGCAGCTGCATCGCCAATGCGGAGGAGGTGGACGTGCCCATCAAGCTGTACTGCAACGGGGACGGCGAGTGGCTGGTGCCCATTGGGCGCTGCATGTGCAAGGCGGGCTTCGAGGCCGTGGAGAATGGCACGGTCTGCCGAGGTAAGGGCCGCGGCGGGAAGGGTGCCCCCTGCAAGTGCGTGGCATTGGTGTCAGCTGCAGCCTTGAGCCTGGCCGCTGGGAGGGCAGGCTGGTCTGGGCAGGGGCCTGGAGCTGACTGGGAGGCCCTCTCCAGCCAGAATTTCCAGATCTGTAGCCGTGGTTCAGCTTCTTGGAGGGAGGCGATGAGCAGTGCTTCATGAATGGTGGTGTGTGCAGATACTGCGGGGGGTGTGCCCGCGGATTTTCGTTGCTATGAGGATAAATGTTTCTCCTTTTAACTATTATGTGAATATTAAGGATAGCAAGTGGTACTTTGTTTCTTCATTCACAAAAGTGACGTGGTTTCCTTTTTAAGAAAATGTGTACACCGTAGTAAATAACATCGATAAGATAATATCCGTTGAACTTTTGTTGTGTCAATCAGTATAGGCCAAGCCATGCTGAAGTGACAAAACAGTAAAAGTTTATATTGCACTTAATGCTACATGTCCATCACGAGTCAGCTTGGGAAAATGTGTGAGTCCTCATAAATGATATTGATAAGATCACATTCATTGAGCTTCTGCTGTATCAGTCAGTATAGGCCAAGCCATGCTGAAGTAACAAAACAATAAATGTTTATTTCGCACTTAATGCCGCATGTCCATCAGGAGTCAGCTTGGGATTCCTCCCTCTGGGAGCCAAGCAGATGGAGGAGCCCCTCTGGAATGTTGTGATCACCAGGCAGAAGGAAGGAGCAAGTGTGACAGATTGTATATGGGCTCTAAAGCATCCCCCACCCCCCAGAATGGCTCATATGTCATGCCTATGCACATTTCAGTGGCCAAGGCAGGTAATGTGATTACTTCCAATTCAGAGAGATGGGAAAGTGCAGCCCCACTGCAAGCTATTTTTACTGTGTGCCGAGCACTTTGTGTGTCTAACTCTTTTAATCCTCACAAGAGCCCTGTGAAGGACCGTGCCATCTTTTAGGAAGAAGTCGCACCTCAGAGAGTTCATACAG